TATTTAGTCACCCTTAAGGTACTTTGTGAATGAGGATCCAGAAATAGCCCTTTTGCGGCCTTCAGTATAGTAACTGATACAGAAATTTGTGGAAATATTGTTGCTACTAGTCGGTGATAAATGGTCTTACAAGTGGGGTGTGAGTCATTAATCTGGACACCCACAAAATTCTCTGGCTCAGAATGTGCTGTGTTGAGCGCCTGCCCAGCAAGCGCAAGGTCGTGAGTTCAATCCCCGGTACCGGAAAAAAAACCAAAAACCAAAAAAAAAAAAAAAAAAAAGAATGTGCTGTGTTGGAATAGGTCAGCTGCAGTGTTCACATTTTCCTAATCAGAGGATATCGTCTAAAATGTATTTTGCATTATATATTACATGGTCCCTGGAAGAAAGAAAAGACCTAGACCTAACTTCATTTGAGTGCTGGTCTTCTGTATGGTGCAGCCCACTGCTCCACAGAGGGTGACGGTAGCGGAGGTAATTCTAAACCAGAGTAAATTTAAAAATTATTTAGTTTTTTTTGAGAAAGGGTTTCGCTATGTAGCCCAGGCTGACCTCAGACTTGGAGTGATCCTCCTGCCTCAGCCTCTGGAATGCTGGGATTACAGGCGCATGCCACCACACCTGGCCTACATTCGTTTTTAGAGTGAGGTGTGTGTTTTACCACAGGACGGAGAAAATTATAGGAGTGTTGGATGTGAAGGTTGTTGGGCGAACGTTACCAGAGTTACTTTCAGGTGAGACCAATATGCAAATTAATTTTGTCCTCTAAACATGGAACGATTGATAAAGCGATTTCTCCCTCACAAAGGAAGTCATCTTGGAATAAGAAATACAGCATGTATACATGTATACCTGTACCATGTGCCCCACGGAACCCCTAACTATGCACAGTTACTATGTGCCAACTAGAAGTTGGGGGAGGGGGTCTTTTGTCAAAAAACCATCCTGGATCCCAGGAGAATCACACTCAGGGTGCCCGCTGCCACTCTTCCCTGCCCCACCTTAGCTGGCAGCATCGATCTGGGAGTGGCACAAGCCTCAGGCTAGAAGACTAACAGGAGAGCCATCCCTTCACTGTCCCACCAGGGATGAGCTCAAGAAAAAGAAAACTCTTTTTTTCTTTAAGGCGGGAGAGAAGCCATACTGGGGATTGAACCCAGGACCCCTGCACTGAGCTACACCCCCACCCCTTTTTATTCTGGGGACAGGGCCTTTTTTTTCTAATTCACTACCTTGCAGAGGCTGGGCTCAAACTTGTAATCCTCCTGCCTCGGCCTCCCTGAGAAGTAGGAGCATCGGTGTGCACCACGACGCCCAGCTGAAAAATCTTGCATTTCTCTCATGTCATGTACCTCTAATGCTGGGAAGAGTTAAACTACTCTTTTGATATACAATTTGATTCTGGATTTTCTTCTTCTTGAGAAGGGAAATGCTGATTCTAATGAAATATAACTATCTCTCAGAATTCATTTGTTGTTTAGGCACTTGGTGGACTTCTCAAGTCCTGATCAAACCAGGGTAATTAGTGTTTCTACCATCTGAAAGATGGATCATTTCTTTGTTTTGGGAACATTCAACATCCTTCTTTGTAGCCATTTTGAAATGTATTTTACTTGTTTCTGTTAGCCGTAGGCACCTGGTGTGCGGTAGAACCTTAGGACTTAACCTTCCTAACTGCATTCTGGCACTCATTATTTTCTTTTATCTTATTGTTTTGTCTTTTTGAGACAGAATCTCACTATGCAGTTCAGGCTGGCCTTGAGCTCACTTTGTAGCCCAGGCTGGCCTCAAACTCGCAACAACCCTCCTGCCTCAGCCTCCCTAGTACTGGAATTACAGGCGTGTGCCACCCTCCATTGCTATCCTCTCTTGGCCCCTAGTGACCAGCATTCTGCCCTCTATTTGCACGAACTGAACATCTGTAGCTTTCACACACATGTGAGCACATGTGTTGTGTGACTTCCTGTGCCTGGCTTACTGCACGTAACCTGAGTTTCCTCCAAGATCATAAACGTTGTAGCAGATGCCAGCAAAGTTCTCTTCTCGCTGCAAGTTTCTCAGAACGTAAGCATGGAAATATATTCTCTTTCCTTCCTTCTGCAGTGACTGGGCCGACACCGAGTGCCTGTCTTGGACAGTGGCGTTACACACTGCTAGGCCCTATCTTTGGTTTCTTGTTTGCTGTTAAAGGGAAGGCACCGAAGTGTGGAGCTGGCTGTGTCCTCACACTGTGAGTGTGGCCTCGGGTTTCTACAGACAAAGCTGAGGCTTCGGCACCTGTCCGCTTCATCCAAGTGCACAGTTGATGTTCACTTTGGAGAGGCCAAACCGATCTTGCCTCATGAGAAAAGTTTAGTAGTGACTGTAATGACTAAGACATTCTTGTGTTCGGGGCTCCTGGCTAGTCTGGGGTTACTACTCTTGCTTTCTCTCCCAGAGAGTATTTATACACTTGCTCTGACATTTGTTCACCTTCCATATTGTCCTGTGAGGTCATTATAAAAATTCTAAGGAGGCCCTTTACACTCCCGCACAAGTGCCCTGCTGGACACCCAGTCAGTTGCTGAAGAGTGGTGTCATGTTCAGCAGCAGTGTAGGTACGGCTTGGGCAAAGGTACAAAGGGGATAGATTTCATGGTCTGACTCTGTTACTAACTCTGCTCCCTCTGTTACAGGAAACTGAGTTAGACAGAAATATTACAGGCAGTCAGACGGGGCCAGGCCCTCCAAGGAGCCAGAATGGAAGAAAAGATTCCTTACAAATGGAGAGGCGGTATTCCCTTCGGGCCAGATCTCAAGACTAAACATTAAGCAGACACACCCTCTTACCTCCCAAGGGGACCTCAGGGATTGACATTCTAAATAGGTAGCGATCACCTTGAAGAGTCCCTGGCCCAACCCCTTACAGGAAAAGCCCCTGTTCTGTATTCATGTCCGCTTGCTA